TATTGTGATACGGCTTTCAATTTTGAGGCAAATTTGGTTGGAAAGATTTTGAAGGAGGATGGCCGTTGGAAACTGTTGGATTGTGCGAAGAAATACTCTCCTCAGTCCCGCAACCCGAATGAACTTGTGTTAATCTTTCGTCTATGCTGCAAAAACAGACAACATCAGAGCAATAATCCATACATACGAAGTAACAAACCAAACTACTAAATCAAGGTAAGAATTGGTCAGCTGCAACCCTATTCGCTTTTTTACCTCGATTCTTGTGATCTTAATAGTGTATTTGGTTGACTACCTCAAACTTGCTCTACATGCTGTGATCGCCTTGACCAGATTAATTTATTCCCACTTCTTCTCACTGAGTGTCTCTCTACCTCTCTCTTCCACCCTTTAAGCCTATCCAACAGCCATTAATAGCTCCTACTTAATTTCCTACACTCATTCCTTTTATTCTGGATTTTGACTTTTGTTTATTCCTATTGACTTCCCAATCGCACTCTTTGATGTGAAGTCCCCATAAAATGACAAACATGTTTTCGATCACTCTCTTGACTGTACTGTTTTAGCCATTTGTTTGGCGCGCCCAGATTCCTGGGCCCATACACCTTTACATACATAGACATAGTGGTTTATTTGTTTAGTTCTCAGATTCGTCTTTTTGAGCTTATAAGCACAAAACCGTACAACAGCCCAATTTAGAGATAAAAGGTTACAAAACTGCACTTATTAGTTAGAATTGAGATCAGACTCAAGAAAATCTTGCCAAAACTGGCCGCATTTTCTCTTGTTTTATTATATTTTTTGCTCTATATTGTATGGATTCTTTCTCTGATGATGTCTGTTACAGTACAGACAAAGGCTTAGCACAGGTTCATCGAGATCTCAGGACGGTGGCTCGAGGACTTCTTCGCACAATCCAACAGTATTCACTCGTCAGAAATCCTGCTTCGGTTTCCGGTTGGAGATCTTTTCACGAATTCCTTCCATTCAACTTTTCCTTGGAAATTGAAAGTCATTTCATTATTTATTTACACGGTTTTCTGCCTAATCGTTATTTTGGTTAATTAACTTTACGGACCATAATAGTATGGCTTTCCATACTTTGATCATTTGCTGTTGATCCACCTGTTTCTACAGATTGGCAAGCACCGAAAGCCGCGCTGGACTACTTGCATCGAGATCCTAGATGATGAGCATTTTCTTGCCTCTGAGACTGATTGCAACATCTTTGTGGTCTCTTGTGATGCCGCTGCTTCCACTACCGCTAGCCGAGTACCCATGCTTCGCGCCCTTCTTGTTTCAGAGTCTCCGGCTACTGCGGTTGTTGCGCCATCGACCTCTGTCTACTTAGCTGCCTCCACAGGAGCCCCTACTAGTGGAATCTGCGCTGGCCTTCCTAATGCCGGTGTGAGTGCTCCAACGGAAAACTTAGTACATTCGGCTCCAAGTACTTGGGCCATGGATATTCAATCTCCATTAACGGGTAGTTGTTGATTCCTGCTCATAATCCTTATGTATGGTAAAAGTTGTGTTGCTTTATGTTTTCAAGTTTCTGCATAACTGCAGCCTTACTCGGACTATCATTATGACTAAATAATATCCAAAATCCATTAAGAATCCACTGCTTTTATCATAATTTTTGATTTCTTAACATTATTTATCGTCTTTCCAGGATGTCTGAGCTTTTTTTTCTTTTTTTTGATCGAAATCTTAAGAGATGTCTTTAGCAATTCTTTATTAAACCTCAAATTTATATCGTAAAGGCCAGGATGGTATGCGTCTTTTTACGCCAATATTCATAACTTGATCGCTGTGGTTAGATTTCAGAGGACTTTCCCATTACCACGATATTGCAGTGGAAAATTTTGGTCAACTAGCGACTATCTCCATAATCAATCTGTTTTTTATATACCGACTAGAATTATTCTTATTCATTCATTCTGTATTCTTTCTTGATTGCATTAGGTGATAAAGGACTCTTAGTTGGATTTGCCCAAAATGAAATGAATAGGCCTTACGATGCCAATTAATTTCACCCAGCCTTGCCTTCAAAAAGGTATACCTACCTAGGGTTTACTGAAGCTACGTATCTTATTCAATAACCAGTGGTTTCGATACCTATTTAATCTAAATATAAGTTATACAGTTGATTTTAATGGAAAATAAATGTTTGTTTCCTTGACAATCCCACAGAAAAATGTGATGTGGCCTAACTAGCTTTGAAATTTACCTCTGCCCTATGACTCATCTGCACCCATTGGAGTGTTGCATGGTGACAAGTTGAAAAATATATACAGCACTATCCAACTTCGATTCCCGTTGGAGTGCTGGTAAGAAGCATGCCAAGTCGAAACTGCAGTTCATTCTAGATAAAAACATCTTTTTGGGAGACTAAGCTAAGTTAAATTTAATGGCATAGGAAGGCCAATTCATATTGTTATTACCTTATGCGACCTATGATGGATACAACCCTTATTTAAAATCTACTTGTAGTTGCATAGTCTAATTAATCTAAGTATATGATAATCCTTTATTTCTTTCACACTCCCCTTGGGCCACTAGAGTGGAATTTCCTATTCCTGAATTCTGGTCTCTAAAGGTTTATTTTTCTTCATTCTGCTGAAGAGCTTATTTACGAAATCTGACTACTATCATGTCACTATAATCTTATTACTTCCCTATTCCTCCTTTCTTGTATCTATATAATCTACAAAACCCTGAATTTATACATATATTTAATGGTTCTTTCGTATGCTACCTTCCTTTCACTTCATATGAAAAGGCGGTTGAAAGATATTTGCAAACTGGTTTTACTGTAAGTCGAAGAAAGATTTGTTTGTTTATTCTAGCATTGACTCCTTCTGTGCATCGTTCTGCGACCCGATAAATCCATGCTAAGTGTTCGTATGCCTTGTAACAGAAATTGTTAAGCGTGTTATCTTTTTTAACAAGTCCCACAATGCATTAACTTAAGAGCAGTTGTCTTAATGCACTTATACCTACTACTTGTAGCCTAATTTTGAGATAGTAATGAGACACCTCATGATTTTATTGGATAATTTGGGTCTCTTTTCTATGACTTGCAATCACTGGTTGTTGTTTTATAGCCTTTCTGCAGGGTAATAATAAACATGGTAACAAACTTAGACATTTTTTATAATACTCATTCGATCACCAGGTTGTTCATGTGGCAAATTTGATTGGACCAGGCTGTGACAAATCTATATAAAATAACTTTGTACTTTACCTGTGTATAATCCTAATTAAAAGGTCTAAGCAATGATTTATCAAGTAGTAAGAAAAGAAGACTTAAGGTGATATTGAGTTGCGAATTGTTTCTATAATTTAGACTCATGTGGATGTCAGAAAGTTGATAATTAAAAAAAAACCCTAATGTAACTCCACTAGACGATGTATGTGAATTGATCCCACCGAAATCGGAGAATTGCCCCCAAATTGTACTATTAAATCCTCGACTCACCATCCTGTAAAAGTGGTAAATCCGTGCTGAGCTTTCGCTTATCATGTGAAAGTCATTGTCAGAGCGAAACACTGATTTAAGAAAAAGTGCACTACTATTCTAGGTCAAGATCTTAGTTGGGTTGAAAATAAATGACTCAAAATTTGTCACAAAAGGGTTATTATTAGAATTATTGCCAATATTGCGATTTGCTTGATGCACCACTGGTTATTATTTGTTTTTTTTTAATATTTGTCTACTGGCAGTTTCGAATAAGGTATTCGTATTGTTATTTAAGCCAACAGATGAGCAAGTGATATAATGTGATGGTTTGCTTGTCATTTTTTATGTACTATCCTTAATGAGGGTAATTAAGGATTTTGAGTTAATAATATATCAGCAGCTAGAAAGATTGGTGGGCGACAAGCTAATAAGTCGGTTTTAAGATGATTAAACTAGGTAAATATTTTAATGCTAACGGTAAAATGTTGTGGGGAAACAGGGTATTTAGTTATGGTATAGTGTTTGGCTACTTCATATTGGTTCTGTATATTGAGGAGAACTCTGCTTTTTGAAATAATTTTAAAGATATCAGAGGAATTTTTAATTATGACAATGTGATTAATAAGAAGAGATTGTATGCCAAATTGGGTAAATATTTATATAATAGAAATATGAATTTGGGATTATGAAGTCTGATAATAAGTCTGAGCCTAGTATTTATAAATAATTTGGACTGGGAATTGGGAAGATAATGGAGAATTTTGGTCAGGATCAAATCTATTGGATATAGAAGTTGTTTAATCTTGTCTTCGCAACTTAGTCATAATATCAGAAAGACCTAGAGGGACCCACCTTGTCCGGAGTCCATTGTATGCATTATAATCTAAAGAGTCCATACCAAACTAAAACTTGTTCAAGAGATTAGTCTCTATGCTGGCGAAACGTTTTGGAATTTATCAAGTTCACGGTCCGATGCTGGGAGTTATACTAACTGCTGGAGCAGAGGGCTTCGGACAAGTTGCATCCAACTAAGTATTCTTGGAGAAACGACCAAGTTGCGAAAACAAGGTCGGGCTTTTAGACACTGAAGGAAGACCGAGGCCAAAATAGAGGCCACAGCATCTTGATCTTCATATTTAAGGCTGAAGAAAGACTCACAAAAGTGGGACTGCCTACCGCCCTAGGAACTAGCTCAAAAACTACAACAATTACTAAGAAAATCGAATATTCAGGTGACCATAAAGAAAAAGACAACAGTCTTCACAAGTTTACCCATGCAGCACGAGAAGTTATGCAAATTGGACCGCTCGGTATTTTACTGCATGGCACACTGCGTTTTCAAACAGTAATATGTTGGAGAAACGGGGATAAAATCAGCACACGAGTCAAGGAACATCATAGGCTTATCAGGAACAACAATCTTGAAAGATTATAAACAGCAGAACCCATTGCACAGACTAGATATGCGATCTTTTGGAAGGAAACAGAAGGGCCTTATATGGTGCAACACGAGGCAATGGAAGATTAATGAGGCCATCGACATCCTTGCGGAGAGAAATTTAATCAACAGGAAGGCTTCAGAAAATGTGTCCAACTCGGTCTTACTGAAAACACGACCTAGTTGGTAAAATGAGATAGACCATCTCATTTTCTTTTTTAATTTTAGTCTATCAATACTTCGTTTATGCTTGTAATATTTTTCTTATAGCTTAATCGTAAGTTACTAGTCCATACCATTGTTTTGCATTCCCTACATACTCTATTTTTCTCATTTCCTTAATGTCTTGTTTTACCTTGCTAAAGTATTTTCATTTTGCTTGTGTTTTTGTTATACATATGTCAATCGATTCACCTATTGTTCATTTCATGATTGCTTTAATTACGTTACATAGCATCTTTCTTTTAATTTAGGGTCAAATTCCGCTTCTGGGGACAATAGCATACCTCTCCCTACTTCCGGAACTTCGTCTGGGTTGACTTTCGCTGGCGATGGTTCGACGCGGTCTCGACCTCCTCTCTCCGCCTCTCACACTGCTGCAAGTAGCAGTAGTTCTGATGCGGCAGCCGCTCGACCCACCGGGAAGCCAAGTCTCTCAGCCACCTCAGTCAACGAGACGCGTCGCCTTCAAGATTGTGCTTATATGCACACCGGCCATTTCATAAACACTTTCGTCACCGGTAAGGAACATATGCTATAGCACCAGTCATAAAGATCCATGCAATATAGATTTATTTTAAGGTATGAAGACCAAGATGGTGTGGCCTTTTGTGTTGTCACAGTCTCCTTTTGTTGTATAGAGGTTGTTTGACCTTGTTTTCGCAACATGGTCATATTGGTAGGAA